TAGTGTAGCTGGAGTGTTATATAAATGGGTGAATTATGGGAAAGGATGGCGTGCGAGATGGTTTGTGCTAGAAGATGGGGTGTTGTCCTATTATAAGGTTCATGGACCGGATAAAATTGCTATGAGTCCAGGGAAAGAAAAGGGGTTAAAGGTTATCGGGGATGAGTCTTGGAGGTATATGAGGAAGGCTAACAATCGACCGTATGGATCCAACAAGTGGAAACCATTTGGGGAAATACATTTGAAGGTAGATGTGTGTGTGTGTGTGTGCGCGCGCGCGCACCACAAATACATACAGTGAATAAGTTAAAAACTACGGGAATGCACCTGATCAAGCATATCCTTGTTTATTGTTTAGTTTTGTCTTAACTTTTAAGTTAGTTTGTTACATACTTGTGAGTTAGCCTTTTCGAACACTTATGGAATGTAATCTTGAAATTTAAGTTGTGCAATGCATCAATTTGTATGTTTTAAGGATTGCATTGAAGTTTATCTTAGAAATGTGAACTTTGATTTATCAGTCTGTAGACAGGAAATTAGTGTCAAAGAGTCTGGACCATAGGACATGGATGCTCAGAAATGCACCATTAAGATAGAAATCAAGAAAATTTGACTTAGTTTTCTGCTTCTGTTTCCATATATTGTAGCATAGGTCATCAGAGCAGAAGAAAAAAGTTTGTAAAATTTGTTGCGTGCATATAACTATTGATTGAGGAACGTAAATCTTTTACTAGATAAAATGAATGCTGGGTGAAAGAAATGAATAATGATAATCTTAAGAGGAATAGTCTGATATCAAATGTCTAAATTGTTTGTGTGAGGAAAGATAAGGCATGCTTTGTTTACTACCAGAGTATCTTATTGTCCAGCATATGAGAAATGAATAAATCATCTCGTATTACTTTACTGGTTGCTGATCTGCCATATCTGCCCTGTGTCATAAGTTCCTACAGATTCTGGATCACTCTTCCATAGTTAATTCTTGTAATTTTCAACCATACTTAATGTGATTCATAAATTATCCTGTACAGATTCTGGAAGTATGCCTGTATCTGTCGAATTACCTCTACTTGTGGTAGGCTGTGGGTATATATATTCTGATCAACTAGCAAAACTACAACAATATGTCATACAGGTCTCCTCAGTCAGGGCGAGCAAGTCAGATGACAAGAGGCTTTCCATATTCACGGGAACAAAGACACTCCATTTGCGATGTCAATCTAGAGAGGATAGGACAGCATGGATTGAGGCTCTTGGGGTTGCGAAAGATCAGTTCCCCAGGTTGTTGTCAAGTGGTGATTTTGCATCTTCCGAAGATTTTATCGTTTCAACAGAGCAGCTACGATCAAGATTGGTACAAGAAGGGATTGGTGAGGCAGTTATAAAAGATTGTGAGTCTATCATGCTACATGAGGTCGCTGAGCTGCAAAATCAGTTGAAGGCTCTTCAAGTTAAGCATATTATGCTGCTGGACACCTTAAGACAGTTAGAGGTAAAGTAAAAAAATTTAGAAGTGTTTATCTTAAGAGAAGGAAATAAAGTCTTGGTACTAATCTGTTTTTTCTTTTTATGCATCAAATTTCCTTTACTGAGTTACTTTTCTTGTCATGTTAGTGTTTGTCTATTCTTTCTATTTTTGCTCTGAATTTCCTGGCAAGACCCCCTTGTTATTCAAATTTTCAAGCCTAGACTTCCCGAGTTCAAGAAAACATAAGAATGTCTTTAGGAGTCTGAGCTAAAACAAATTCTAAAAATGGAGCCAGCGGCGATTTTGAATTCCTTGGTCAATAAGGTATCTCTCCACTATTATGCCTCAACTTAGATGTCCAAAGCCAGAAAAATTGATTAGGTATAAATGAGGTGAAAAAAGAAAAAGAAAAAAGGAATACTTACAAGATGTATGATTGAATCAAAGTGATTTTTACTTCGTTCAAGCATTTTTTCTCCTGTCTCATCTCAGTTAAGATGGGTCATGGACAAATTTGTCATTGATTTAGTTGCTATTTCTCTGAGAAGGTATTGCACTGCTCCAAGTTGTTTGAGATGGAAGCTATTTTGTCATTTGTGTTGAAGCTAAGTGTCTGCTTATCTCTCCTCTGCCCAGCTTCTTTGATGCAAAAATATAAATCCATGTGATTTATGAGGTAAAGAAGTAACAGATTTATTTTAGTGCCAAGTTCGAAAGATGAATACAACAGTGAATATGAGATGGTTCCTTGATGTATGGGCTTGTCAAATATAGTTACATTAAGCTGATGTTTGAATTCATTTGCTGATGTCTTGTTTTGATCTCTGAGTGACAATATTGCTACTTAGTTTTCAGTGCACCGGGGACTTGATGCATTTACAACTTGAAAATTAATGCACTACTTCTCACCCTTTCTTGCAGACGGAGAAAATTGAGCTGGAAACAACTGTTGTGGATGAAACAAAAGAACGAGATTCATGTTGTGGACAAGGTCGAAGATTTAGTGGTTGGTTCCTATCCTCCAAATCCTTTTATATGGAGTCAGAGATTTGTCCAGTTTTTCTGTATACCAAGCGTGTTGAAAATTTTAAAGATCTGGTACAACATGTTCTCAGTAGCTTTTGATCATTGGGTAATTGGCTTGTCTACATTGTTGGGAGCCTACATTTAATACATCAATGTTTATTGATTGTCCTAGAATCCTTTTCCAAGAATATAAAGCACTTATGCACCTTGCATAGTACAAAAATTTATGCACCTACAGCCACCATTCGATTTGTTGTTCAATTTCAGTGTTACTGTTCCATGTTATTACAGATGATCTTTTTGGGATCTGGTTGAACAGTGGTAACCAAACTTCTTGTCTGTAAATGGTTAGATGTTTTCATTTGAAAATCAAAGGGCTTTTTACATTTTACATTTCACCTTTTAGAAATGCCTTTCAAAAGTTTAGTCCTTATGAAAGTCAAAGGGCCTTTTACAATGTAAAATGCAGCTTGCAGAAAACATTTCAAAATTTAGTCCTTGCCATAAATTATTAGGTGTGTCCGAGCAGTAGCAAAGAGGCTTTCGTCTGTTACAGCTGAGGATGGTTTATGCAAGTTTGCAGTGAAAAGCAGTTAATAAAACTCTGGGTGGATTTCTTACATTTCCTTTCAAATAGATTGAAATTATAATTTGTTAGTTTAATATTTATTACTTTAATAATAAGATGGGAGATTCAACAATTCATAAATGTTGCAGATTTCTATTCCATTATGTCTGAGGGCAGTGCTAGCGACTCTGATGCTGACAATGAAAGCCGATATGGAGTAGATGTTGAAACAGATGAAGAAGATGGTGCATTTTTTGATACTAATGATTTTATGTCTGCTGAATCTCTTAGAAGTGCTTCTTATCGCAGTAGAGAGGGTGCTGGAAATGCTTGTAGTTCATTAACGTTTGAGAATGAGAACCTCTCTGGTCATACAAGGGAAGTGGGGATAGAAGTGAAGGCAATCAAATATCCCTATATCAAAAGAAGGGATAGTCTGCCAGAACCGAAGGAAAAAGAGAAGCCAGTTGGTTTGTGGTCAATAATCAAGGATAATATTGGGAAAGACCTCTCTGGTGTGTGTCTTCCAGTATACTTCAATGAGCCTCTATCTTCACTGCAGAAATGCTTTGAAGATTTGGAGTACTCACACCTGGTTGATCAGGCACTGGAGTGGGGAAAGCAGGTAACTTGTCAGCTTTCATTTTTTCTTCTTGTTTTTATAGTAGCAGACAGCTTGTTAAAAAAGCACGTAATGGTAATTCTGCTTGGCAGATGAAAGCAGATGAATAGTTTCCTGCTATCTGTTTCATGTGGTTATTATCACTTGCCTTCCTATCTCTTATTTTTCAACATTGTGCACAATAACTATTGTTTGAATCTGTTGATGAACTGAGTATGCTGGTAGCGGTGTAAGCCATCTAAGTGTAAAAAGTTTTGGATTTCGGTACGAGATTTAACTATTTCTTGGAGGAAATAGCTACAAGTTTGCCAAATGAGTAGTTCTTTCGAGTAGCAAGCTTATTAATTGAGTCACTGGATCATTCCTGTAAAATAATGGGAACCCAACCCACTTTTTCATCTAAGTTGTTATATAAGATCCTATTGGAATTGTAAAATGGAAAAAGATAAGGCCTTTCTACTGCATATCTCGAATCCTCACCTTGATGGGTTCCTGATACTTGGCTGCCATCAGATGTTATAAGTTCTGCTTGACCTTCATCTGTTGGCATTTTCTAATTTCATTTTGGTTAGCAAGTTCTAAATAGTTTCTGCTGCGAGTCATGATTATCACACTGCAATTGTCGTGAAACTAGTGTTGTCTATGCAGATGTTTTTATGTTTTTGTATTTAAAATTCTCACTAATATTTTGTCCATGAAATCGCTCGTGATACATGGTTATCAGTAGTTCTGCCTAGATCATATTTGTGTTGCATCTTCAGTAAGTTTTGATATAAAATAATTGACTCTCCCTAGTTAATTTTCTGCAGGGGAATGATTTGATGAGAATCCTTAAGATTGCAGCTTTTGCTGTATCTGGTTATGCATCGACTGAAGGCAGGCAATGCAAACCTTTTAATCCTCTACTTGGTGAAACCTACGAGGCAGATTATCCAGACAAGGGGCTACGCTTCTTTTCTGAAAAAGTAGGACTTTCTTCTGTGAAATGACTAAAGATTTGAACTGTAAAAAACTTCATGAAACTCTATTGCTCCTGTTTCGAACTAGATGGCACAAATCTTTGTTGCCTGTCTCTTCAATAGCTGATCTTGTGTGCATGAATTTCAGGTTAGTCATCATCCCATGGTTGTTGCATGCCACTGTGAGGGCAGAGGGTGGAAATTCTGGGCAGATTCTAATCTCAAAGGGAAGTTCTGGGGACGTTCAATTCAGCTTGATCCTGTGGGGGTTCTAACCCTGCAGTTTGAAGATGGCGAGACATTTCAGTGGAGCAAAGTTACTACTTCTATTTACAATATAATAATTGGCAAAATCTACTGCGATCACTATGGCACTATGCGGATCAAAGGCAGTGGTAAATATTCTTGCAAGATCAAATTCAAGGAGCAGTCTATTATTGACCGAAATCCTCATCAGGTAATCTATGTACACTTTATCTGATCTTATAAAGTTTAGGGGGAAGCAAGTCCATATAAGCTATAAACTGAGTGAATCCAAAAAAGTAGTCAGATAGTCAATGTATAGAACTTTCTGCCTTTTCTGATTGTGGTAATAGCATCCCATGGATGAACTGGTATTACCAGAGCCTTGTTTGGAATAGTCATTTACTAAATAAGTGCTGATGAGATGCTCCTTTTCTGACTGCTGAATATTTGAACGTGTCTTTTCAGATCTTTTAAAATTATGAGAAATTAGTATCTTTCAAGTCATAAAAATTATGTCAACATCCATTTAAATTTTGAATGGAGGAGCATATGTTTCTACTTGCAATCAAAATAAAAGATTAACACCTATGTTCTGTAAACAAAAGGTTCATGGATTTGTGCAAGACAACAGGACAGGAGAAAAAGTGGCCATGTTATTGGGGAAGTGGGATGAAGCAATGTATTACGTGTTGGGAGATCCAACTACAAAGCCAAAGGGTTATGATCCGATGACTGAAGCCATATTGTTGTGGGAGAGGGACAAATCTAATCCTAAAACAAGATACAACCTCACACCTTTTGCAATATCTTTAAATGAATTGACACCTGGCTTAAGAGAGAAGCTGCCACCAACCGACTCAAGGCTGAGGCCTGATCAGCGCCACTTAGAGAACGGAGAGTACGAGCTGGCTAATGTGGAGAAGCTCAGACTTGAACAGTTGCAGAGACAGGTACTCATTCATGTCTTTCAGTTGTAGTTTGGTTGTGCACTGCTTTAAGTGGTTTCATTTGAAACATAAATATGGGATGAAGGAAAAGGTGGACATTCAGGCAACCATTGATTCTACAATGTAACTTCCGTCTAGTAAAACCCTGCTTCTTTTATATACCTGGAATTACGGAAACAGTATGAATCATAGTATGATTTTCTTCTGTATACATTCAATCAATGTTCATGATATTGGTATCTATTCACTTTGGATCTTACTTGAAAGTTGAGATGTCATTGATGCACATTTTGCTATCTGTTTGATCTTCTATTCTTATTTTGTCTTTGTTAGGAGCTCTTTGAAAAATTTACTTACTTATCTATTTTGTCATAAACAAAGAGCTTTGTGAAAAATCATGCTTTCGGCTTCTGTCATCTCAATTGGCTATGAAAAGCAGACAGAAGTAAGAAGCTAGAATGTCTTTGCCTTTTTGGATCTTTCAAGTCCCATAAGCTGCAACTAGAATAGTACCTAAGCTTTTGAGGATGGTGTATATCACATTTATCCACGTGGAATGCTTTTTCCATGGGGAGGAGAGAGAGAGAGAGAGAGAGAGAGAGGGCAAGGGAGGGAGGCACGTTAAAGAGTGAAGAGGAATTGCTACAGCTTTCCTTCTCAGAAAAAAAGAGGAGTTGCTACAACTTTAGAAGCTTCTTAAGAGTATTTTTAACTGAACAGAATGCACATCATTAATAGTATGTTACATACGCAACCATATATCATGAATAGTCGATGGTGATTCTAAAGGTCACTGATTAACCAAATTATAATTGGTTCTGCAGGCAAGGAAACTACAGGAGAGAGGTTGGCGACCAAGATGGTTTTCCAAGGATGAGGATGGTTGTTATCACTATGGTGGTGGATACTGGGAAGCAAGGGAGAAACATAACTGGGAGGATATCTCTGATATATTTGGGCAGACTAGTGATCCTTCTCCAATAATCGAGGAGTAATTGCCATTTGCCTGTTAAGCTTGCTCTTCATTTCTCATGGAGGTATATCACATGTGGATTTCTACCAATTAGGATTTAAGTTTTGATATTCTTTTTTCATGATGAAACTGGCCAGTTTAAGCGATGTGTATAGCTCTCTTTAGGTGCTTGGTTCAAAGTTCAGCTTGACATTTTATTTCATGGAAAGTCGGAAATTATTCAGCTGAAACTTGGAACTGATATCTAAATTGTAGACAGTTCAAATTAATTGTTCTTTTTAAAGCTGTCTCTAGTTTACTCCCTACAGCTCGATCAGTTTACAGTTTACACTAACTAAAATGGAGCGCTGAGATGGGCAAAAATACTTAAGCTTAGCAGAGACTGCAAACTTCAAAGCGATTCAACTATTCTTCTCTTTTCCCTCCCTTCCTCCCTCTACTACTTCTAGTTATTTTCTTATAATACTGCAATGTAGAAGATCTATAGGACCCTAATTTGCCTTAAAAGATACATCATTTAATATTGAAATGAAATGGACGTGAATAAAATTTGGAGTAATAAATATAGATAAATTATATAATTGACTTCAACTTGGTATTGAGGCACGTTGATTGAATTATTGGTTGATACAATGAAGGAGAAAATGTCAAGCAGTTTTACTATATCCTACTATTGAGTGAAAGAAAAATGTCCTTTAATTTAGATTTAAGCAGCTGCAAATCTGTAAGAAAAGGGAAGATGATAGCAAAGAGACATTTAAGTCAAGTATTGGAAGTTTATCACTGAGGGTTAGCGCCATATAGATAAGATCCCTTCATTTTCAATAACAAGTCTGGAGTTCGAGCCTTGGAATTAAAAAAAATGGTATGGAGTGCTTTCTCCTTTAATAGACTTTACCAAATTTGAATTAGTCGGAATCTTAAAGTGCATATTGAACACCAGATGAGAAACCAAAAGAAAAGTACTAGAAGTGTGCTTCAATATCACGGAACATAACATATATTAATATTATATAGTTAAAACAAAAAATTCCCCATATCATATTTCTAATAAAGTTGATTACATCTAGGGGTGGCAATTGGGTGGGTCGGGTCGGATATGAACGTGTCAAAACGGTTAATTTTAAAAAACAGATAAATTATCCGACCCGACTCATATTTGAGACGGATAAAAACGGGTTTATCCGGCAGATAATATGGATATTCATATTATCCATGGCTTCTTAAATATGATCACTTATGAGAGAATTCCTAGTCTTCCAAACCTGAGGAACTCCAATTTGAGGCTTTACCAATGTAAAAGTTAAACACATTAGTTATCCATTTGGTTATCCATTTTTTAAGTGGATAATATGGTTCTTTACCCATATTCGATCCGTTTTTAAATGGTTCATTATCCAACCCATTTTTGATGGATAATATTGGTGGATAACTGTTTTCTTTTAACCATTTTGCCACCTTTAATTACATCCTTTCTATACTCCTTAATTTAGCCGTTAAGGTTGTTTTAAACTTGTGTTTATTTTACTGAAAATGAGAATCTTCCATGCAATTATATAATTTTCTAATATCTTACAATTTTAATAAGGTATCGCTTACTCGACTTATTATTAAAACAATGAAACTTTCAGATATTTAACTTTGTATTATTGTCTTCAGATTTTTGAGGACATGGCCTATAATAAGAAGGTGTGAATTGTCGAGTATTAGAGTTGTAGATTAGGACGTAGTGGAGCATTTTTCTACTTCGTATGGGGTGTGAGGCTAGTTTGACAAGATTGTGTCTTAAACTGCTAGCGCTTAATGTTGTGTTCACATTATTCTTCCGCTTTTTATAGTACCAAACCTTATTTATTTGTTATTATTATTGCTTTTCATCTATTATCTGGTCCTTATAATGATGTTATTATTTCTATGGTTTCTGTTGATGGTACTGATATACTGTCTCTTTTTGTCTTCTTGAGCTGAGGGTCTATTGGAAACAATGTTTCTGCTCCCTCGGATAGGGGTAAGGTCTGCGTAGACTCTATCCTCCCCAGACCCACTAGTGATATTTTATTGAGTTGTTGTTGGTGGTCTTGTTAATTATTTTTAATACAACTACCTCGAAGTTTCATGCCAAATTAAGACACTCTATCTAATACACGCTATTATATTAATTTATCCATTATTATATTAATAATATCCATCCAGAGTCGGTATGGGCTGGCGAGGACAAACCATTTGCTACGTTTTTTAACTCAGGAATAAATTAACGGAAAATTAGTTCAGGTTGCTATTTAACTGTTGTCCTTATTTAAGTTTTGCAAAAATAATTGGCGGAGCATAACTTGCTCAAAGTTATGCCGGGGTGGGGCAGACAAACTTTGAACTAGCCAAAAAGTTATCTTATATATGAGTAGGAGCGGCAAACGGGCGGGTCGGGTCGGGTCGGGTCGGGTCAGATATGGTTCGGGTCGAAAACAGGTAATGAAAAAATGAATAAATTATTTGATCCGACCTATATTTAATACAGATAAAAAACGAGTTAACCGGTGGATAATATGGATACGTAACTTCTTGCATAAGATCACTTTTGGGAAAATTCTTAGTCTCCCTAACTTAAGGAATCCCCAATTTGAGGCTTTACAAATATAAAAGTAAGACCCATTGGTTACCCATTGGTTATCCATTTTCTAAATGGATAATATGATTCTTATCCATATTTGACCCGTTTTTAAAAAAGTTTATTATCTAACCCATTTTTAATGGATAAGATGGATGGTTAACTGTTTTCTTTTAACTATTTTGCCACCCATAACATGAGAACGAAACTTAAATACCAACCCTTGAAAGGGATACCAGGTGCAAATTCAAATTAATTAACAAGTCCAAATCAAGCATTATCCCCCCTACAGGTCCATACAGGTTGGATAGAATACAAATAATCTCAATAAGGCATAAATTGTAGAATAATAATTTTTTCTGAAGTTTTGACGCTTCCTCTGTTGTTCTGTAGTGTTTTTGGGTATGAAATTGAAGGAATGCACCACCTCACGACGTAAATTTTATGAGGAAAAAAAAAACCTATCATGTTATAACTTTACATATCAAACATGATTGGTTAACTTTGAAAAATAGAAGAATGACTTATAATCAATTCAATTTTATTGATAATGTCAATATTCTTTACAGTTAGTGTACATAATTTAAACTCAGAGACTATCTAGACCTATGTATTTTTACATGCTTTCATTTTTTTTCACGCATTCATTTTTGTTTTGGTTGATTTTTCTGCCGTGAATATCCATTCAATTGTGAATGTTATTTAAAACATCGATTTTTGGAGAAATTACAAAAAGATTCTATTATAGAAAGTTTTCTAAAATAGAATAAACGATAGATCAAGAGAAAAATACATAAATTCATTGACTTCTGTACATTTCGCGCCTTTAACATATGCATCATGTTTTGACTTTCATGTCGGCGTCCTCTTATTTTTGTCGGCGTCCTCTTGTTTTTTGTAATTTGTCTCTTAATTTATTATTTCGTGGTACAGAAATGTTTATTTTGTAAGAAGTAAAATAGAAATAGCGAAATAAATAAAAGAAAATGCAGAAGAGGATATGGTGCAAATTGAAAAATAGTGTAAATATAAGGGATGCAAAATGCATATAACCCAAATATATTGCTTCTATTAATTACTAGTATACATTTATTTAAAATGCTAATTCTGTGAGATTTTTCAAAATTTTCGTTTTCTTAAAAAGTAGGTTTATAATGGCTTTTGGGTTCACTTAGGGATCGTTTATTTACAAGGATAAGGGATTATAATTCTGAACTTACAAATGAAACTCTCTTATCCTATGTTTGGTATAATTTTTTAATTTCAGAGTTAGCAATCCCAGAATTATTTATAATAACTATCCTGGGATAAAACTAACAAAACAACACATTTTTCTTTTCCATAACTCCTCTCTATGTTTTTTAAAAAGCCAAGATTATAAAGACAAAAGTTTATCTATATTTATTTAGTTAAAATCGAGGGTCTATAAAAGTTTATCTATAAAAGTTCTCTAGCCGATGGTTTATCGGAAACAACATCTCTGCCCTTCCAGGGGTAAGGGTAAGGTTGCGTACATCTTACCCTCCCCAAACCCTACTTCTGAAAAACTACTAAGTTTGTTGTTATTGTTGTTGTTGTTGTTGTTTTTAAAATCAAATATTTTTCTAAATTATGGTATTTACTATGAATGTCCACTACTCCTACTACTCTTTTCCATGATGTAATTAACCCCCACTATCCCTTATTACTTTTATGGTTATACCTCCAACACCTCTATATCCTCCTCCATGATCTTTATCCATGATCCCAATGGTTAATGTCATGTTTAAAGCAACTTTTTTTGTAAGCCTCTATGTACTAGTATATAAATAGAGGCATGAGATATGATTATGACACACTCAGAGTCTGGAACCAAAATATTTTCATTTGGACTCAAGAGACAAAAATAAGTGCAAAAAATAATTGATGGCATTTTTATATATAGCGCATGTTTTGCGCTATACCTTAATAGCCAGGTACCCCGTTAAGATATAGCGCATGTAATACATGCGCTATACTTATAATTTGCTGACCCATAATAATTGGTAAGTATAACACATTTATTATATGCCCTATATGTACATCGCATATATCACATGCGCTATACTTACCAATTGCCATCCCTTCACACTGGATATTTGCTTACTTAAGGAGGAACATTCGTCCTTCAAAAAATCATTCTGAAAAAAATAGTCATCAGCATTCTTTTTATCGCTTCATATTCATCAGTATTTTTTGAATTTTGCTACAATGTCTGATGAGCAAAAAGTTAGGGTTGTATTGTATTGGGGTGGTGAGGTTGTGGTGGAGAATAACTCGGTACACTATAGTTGTTCTCCACAGAGTATTGTTAAGTTGCCACTCACATTGGAGTACGACAATTTGGTATCTTTGAAATGTAAAAGAATGAGTGTGAGTAAACGTTCGGTTAATATTAAGGTAATCGGAAGATATCCCTATTTGCTTACTCCGTAAGGGGTTTCTTGTTATGTCGAGTTTAACATCGAAGATGATGAAACTCTGCCTGACAAGAATATATAACTTTATCTCTAAACGTACAATTCATAATTTGTAGATACCCTATGATGCACATTATCGAGTTGTTGATAACTCGCGGATGGACCATCATGATCCAAACCTCCAAAATTACGTATATTCCAATTGTTGGTTGGTTCATAACTTATAAAATTTATGGTAACCCCTATGAAA